GGGAAGAGATGGCTATATTATAAAGAAACTGAAATTTTCAACCAGATGCAGAGGGAACCAATACTAAGGTTTCTTAATACTGCAGAAATAAATACCAGCTTAAATTACATGCCAAAATTAAATTACATGCAGGATACATTAGAAAAAAATAAACTTATTTATGTCTTAGAAGCCTCAGTACAGAATCTTTTTATTCACCAATTTTTAAACATGAATCATTTGACTTTTCCACCCAGGAAGGAACCCTTGTTGATCCATTTAGGCTAAACACTTCCTTGCATTATGTGGAAATTCAAAAGTAAATAAAATCAAAATTGCAACTATTTGTAATGTATTAATATATAGGTGTGCTTACCTTAATTCAATAGCTGCATTACTAAAAAGTGATTTGCCATGTAGTTTCTTATTTCCTAAATCAAATTATTTCTCCCTTGGCCCTCCCTATCACAATCTCTGCAGTGCTTTATCTTTTGATTATCTTAACTGGAAGTGATCAAAGGCATTAGGTTTAAGGGTTTTGCTTGTTTTTTTCCTTCATTGTACTTTCAGGTAATGATGTTCAAAAACAATCAAACAAGCAAACAGTAGGATTGGGGGGTGGGGTAGATCACATCAGATCCTGGCAGGGTTGTGCTGGTAGATATTTAACAACTGGCTTTTTGAAAAGCATGAAACACTTTTTAAGCTTCATCTGCATTTTTAACGTTTTCTCCTTCACTTTCTTAAGTCTGGACAAACACCATAACAATAAATTAAGCCCTGATTTATATTTTGCTGATTCCAAGGTATAAATGCCCATACTGAAAACTTAACAATCAGCTCTAGCACCCTGCTGGATCCTGGTGCTGGATTTGTAGCTAAGATCAAGTTCAAAACTCACTTTAGACACTAGCTGTGTGACCCTGAGCAAATCATTGAACCTCTCTGAGCCTTTGGCCAATTGCTTCTTCCATCAAGTGAGGGGATTGTACTTGGTGGACTTTAAGGTCTCTTCCAGCTCTAAATCTGTAATCCTTAATGTTTTTTTTTTTGTAATGTAATGTAACTAGTTTCTCTTTGTGGCTCACACCAGCATTTTCAGACTTCTTAGATAAATACTTATTTTTGTGCCTAATGGTTACTATGATGCTATAAGACCAAAGTAAGGGATGTAAGTGGCCAGCTAGGTGGTGCGGTGAATAGAATGCTGGGCCTGGAATCGGGAAGATCTGAATTCAGATTGACCTCAGACATTTACTAGCTGCATGACCCTGGACAAGTCACTTAACCTGATTTGCCTCAGTTTCCTCATCTGTAAAATGAGCTGGAGAAGGAAATGGCAAAACACTTCAATATCTCTACCAAGACAATCCCAAATGGGGTTCTGGAGAAGACTGAAGGACAAAAAGTGGTGCATGTACATATACATTTATTCAATTTCACCTGCTGTTTAGTTTATATTTATATGTATTTAGATTCACTTGGTGTCTAGTTACTTTGACATTTAATTTATATAAAGTCATTCATTTAAACAAAGTAATGCCATTTGTAGCTATTTAACATTAAATGCTTAAAAATACAGAATTTCCATAGTACTTTTACTTTTTAAAATTAAGGGCCAAGACAATACTTTTAGATCCTTCTGTGGGCCACCAGATGTCACTGTTACGGCGAACATTTCTTCTATTTGAACGTTAGAACAGTTTCATAGAAATAAAGCTTTTTAAAGCTGGCAGGTCAATGTGTAGGTTTCATAAGAGCCAAGAAGTTGGATAGGGGAAAATTATATCTCCATTTAGATATGATTGGTTTCCTTTGTAATATTATGGATTTTATTTTATGCATTTTAAGACATTACTCTGAGAAGTAGTTGATAGACGTCACCAGATTGCCAAGTGTATCCATGATTTGAAAAAAAAATTTAAGAACCCTAGCTTTAAAGTGATCTTAAAGAAACTTCTCTCATTTCTTCTGTAAGTACTTACTCAAGAACATAGTACTGTGCTACAGCATAAAGGCCTAGCTTTATCTCTAGGCAAAATGGTTGTGAATACTTTCCCCCCCAAAATTAACATTTTTATTAAATCAGTCAAGAAATGTTTGTTCGCTGTAGAAAAGTTAACATTGAGAGTTTTGAAGAGACAATAATATCACATTTATCTAGATTTTTACAGTTTACAAAATAGTTTTCTCATAACAATATTGTGAATTAAAATTTGCAATTCCAAATTCTCTTTTTTCCTCCTTTCCTTCTCCCTCCTTAAGAAGCAAGGCAATTTGATATTGATTATGGTATGTCATATTCCTATTTATTTCTATTTTACAGAAGGCAAAACTGAGGTTTTTGAGAGCCTCGTAGTCCAAAGTAGCAAAACTTCCACTTGATCCCAGGTTTCTAATTTAAGATCCTTCAGCACTCTCTCCACTACACAGTGTTGTCCCTGAATAACCTCCAGAGGAGACCTTTTCATAATCATTCTAATCAGAATAGTGATTCCTAACTTTTCCAGAGTTGTGACTCTTAATACTATGTGTTTGGTTTCCCAGCTCTTCTTCCTTCTTTCTTCCTCTAAGGAGACTAGATGGAGACTAAGTACCATATGACACATATTTTTCCAATAAACATAAAATAAAATCAACTTTGTCCTGAAAACTCCATGCCATAGTATGAGGTACTTATGCTGTAGAAATGATCAAAACCCAAAAATTTTAAAAAAAATTTACTTTATTCTGAATTTAAGAAATAAAGCAAGCATTTTCATAACATAGTAGAACAGGAAAAAAAGATGATTGTACATGAAACTACAAATCTATTATGTACTACTTGCACCATATCCACTGCACCACCTAGCTGCCCATCACTTTCATACATTCCAACAATTAGATATCTAGTGATGGTTAAATAATATGGTTCTGATAGTCGCACATGTGACCAACAGAACTCATTACACATCATGAGTCCAATTACAGCCATTGATCTGATCTTTTAAAAACACCATCTGTAGCCTCCCTTCACCACACCCCCAAGGTAATGAGGCACCCCTTGTTTTTTCTGATTTATGTTTGCCCTAGTAATTATTCTATAGCTGTCCTGTACCATGTATGGAGCTTACTCAGATGACCCTATAAAAAGCCATAACTAAGAAAAGAAAGTTTGGATCATCAGCTTCAGCTTCTGTCCCAGGTGATACTTCCTTGTTGATGGGAATTCCTTACATAGACCTCATGATTGAGAAAGTCGGGGGAACACGGTGATTGTGTGACTGGCAGCTCGAATCCCTGTCTATCTTTACTGTTTCAATTTATTTCAACAAAGAAAGAACCTGATCAACTCACCTGAGACAAAAGAGAGGATGAAATCACCAAGGAGGAGAGGATAAAGAAATAATATGAGAAGAGGAGAGGAGAAGGGAGAGGAAGGAAGAGAAAAGGAAAGGGAAAGAGAAGGGAGGGCATGAGGGCATGGTCTTGGGAGACATCTACCCTTTAGTGTTGGAAGGCAGCAGAGTAGTAGGCTGGACTGTCCTTCCCTCTCCCCAGGAAGTCTTGTTACAACAAGCATTCGTTCTAGGAGCGCAGATGCTCTTAGTGGCCTTACTTGTTTTATGTCCTGGGCCAAATTTATACCCTTTGGCAAGTTTCCTCAGGTACCAAGGAGGTCATTCTACCTTAGTTAAGACTCTATTCCTAAATTGGCAACAGGGTTTTTCAGTCACTGTAACTCTTGAAGCCCCTTTTATCTTGCCAGTTTTCTCACACTTTTCTCCCCTACACTTACTCTTTGACACATATTCTTTGATCCGGTGACACTGGCCTCTACACTGTTCCATGAACAAGACATTCCATCTCCTGGCTTTGGGCATTCTCTCTGGCTGCTCTTCATGCCTAGAATGCTCTCTCTCAGGCTTCTTATTAGTCCCAAGTAAAACCTCATCTTCTCCTGGAAGCCTTCCCCAACCTCTTTTAATGCCAGTGTCTTCCCTCTGTGAATTATTTTCTATTTATCCTGTGTATAGCTTGCTTTGCATGTTGTCTCCTCGATTAGATTGTAAGCTCCTTGAGGGCAGGGACTGTCTTTTGCTTTTTTTTTTTTGTATTCCCAGCTCTTAGCCTGGCACATACTAGACACTTAATGAATGTGTATCGATCAGTTGATTTACCAAATTATAGAGGAGCTGTCACCTGTTTCCTTGGATCACTGCATAGTTTCTAGGCCTTTCTCTTCATCTCATTACCTCAGAGGACAAGAGCTTCTTTCAGATGCCAACCACTTTAATTTCTGGGACTTCCTATAAAAGGCTTTACCTAGGCTCTTATGAATTGTTTAAAAGCAATGCCTTTTTTTTTTAAACCAGAAAGCTCTGCTGCCCTACAAGAGTTTTTATTTTTTAAAAAAAATTTTAAAATTTAAAAAAAATTTATTTTTTTGGTTATTTTTTATTATTTTTAAGAGAGTTTTTACTTTTAAAATACATATCTGAACATATATTGAGCACATCTAAATATCTACAGAATAACCAGTGGTATCTGCTTTGGAACCATCTGCTGTGCAAATACTTTTCATACGAAAGAATATAGCTAAATAAGAAATTAATTATAAGCTATATTTATGTACAGATCATGCATACCAAGAGAAGTCTTTGCAGTTTGTTTGTAATTGTGATTTATGCATCTTTGATGAGCTTCTCAAATGTCTTCTGGGCTACCATTCAGCTCATGGTAACTATCTTAAAATAAGAAGTGCTTGTTGAGGCAACACTTTTTTTTTTTTGAGATAGTATCACACCTATTGCTTTGCTACCATTTCCTCTTCTTGCCATGTTTTATGGATGAATCAACTTCAATAATGATAATCTGAGACTGTGCCTGGCACTAGTTAGTCAGGGGAAGGTCAACTATTTTTGATCCCTTACGATCCTGATCTTTTCTGTCCCCTCTCCTCCCCCTAGATGCTCCTCAATTAATGTCTTAAAATAGCAGGTCATTCTCAGCTGCCAGACTGGAGTCTGCCCAGGGGAGAGGAAAACATCAACTGCTAGAGTATAGGAGAAAAGTGACCTAAGACAAGAAAAGATTGTGACTGTCTACAAGAAAATATCTACTTTTTAAAATTTCTACTTTTCTACAAGAAAAGTACATTGTGATTCCTTGGAGAGGAAAAAAAAAGGATCTCTTTCTTCTACATTAGTGCATTGCTCCTGTCTTATTGAGCATCAGGGTTTTGTAAAGGATTAAAATTTTTTTTTGGAAAACTGAAACCAGTAGCTTAGTGATGAAACGGAACATCGCGGTCTTCTTTGGAGCCCTTTTTGGTGCCTTAGGAGTTCTGCTCTTTTTGGTGGCTTTCGGGTCAGATTACTGGCTGCTTGTGACTGAAGTTGGGAAATGTTCAGGTGAACATAATGTGCGTTTTCTTTTCTTCTTCAGTATAATAATGGTTTATTTTGTAGTCTCTAGTATATGTTTTCCCTCCTCTTGTGGGTGAAGAATCCATGTAAATCAGAGAATAGTGGCTCTAATGCTTGAATGCAAGAGATGTGATAATGTTAAATACAAGTTTATCAGTCAGCATTAGAAATATTTTTCTCTCTTTTTCTAAATGACTGACTGTGACTAGGTTGATTGCTCTCTATCTAATAATATTTTTTTGTGTGTGTTTTGGGCAGGTAGAGAATGTCACTTTCCACCATGAAGGTTTCTTTTGGAGATGTTGGTTTAGTGGTGTTGCTGAGGAAAACACAGCCAACATTTGGAAATTCTGGTACAGTAAGTGAGATTTAACTTCATTTTTTTCATTATTAAAAAATGAACAACTTTAATGTGTAACAACATAAGCATTTCACTGAGTTATTATAGCACCTGAAGTAATTGCATTTCCAGTACTTCGGGGGGATAGTTTTTTTGGCCAATATAGTTGTATTGTCTGGAAAATAATTTTTTAGGCATGTGTGTATGTGTGTGTGTGTGTGTGTGTGTGTGTGTGTGTGTGTGTGTGTGTGTGTAAAAGGTAACTGGTAGTAGTTAATGTGACACAGTACCTGATAGTCACCATCCAACAAGGGGCAATTTAACTTTTTTCTCCCTACCACCATTCCCAAGTATCTGTTATTAACATTATCTTGAAAATCAAACTTCTTCTGGCTATAGCCTTTTAAAACCTTGTAACTTTGGAAATTCTAGAAGGGATGGTTTATCTTTTTATATCCAAATCTCTGAAATTTTTATTTAAATATATATACTAGAACCTTATAAGCAATAGTAGTAGAGACATGAAAATTTGTTTGAACTATGTTGCATGATATATCAAGGGATAAATTTCCTTTTATGTAAACATAGTTTTGAAATGTACATGAGATATTTCCATGGCCCTACTAAGGCAGCTACCATGATCCTTTTTTTTTCCTTAGATGCATATCATATGATTTATGTAAGCTCAAATATTGATTTGTTTAAAAAAACAACCACTTGCATTATGACCAGTTGGCATCAAGGTAAAAATAGTCACTTAAAGAATGTTCATTTTTCTTGGTAGTGATTGAGAACTTCTCTTGCTGTGTCTATAATAATAAACCTTGTGAGACACAGCAAGGGAAGTTATTTCTATACCAGGCAAAATCGTGGAATCTATAATTAAGGGTAGAATCACTGAACACTTTAGCAACCTAATTTATTGGGATGGTTTCCATAAGAATAAAGTTGATTTATTTATTTATTTTTGGCTAGGCAATGGGGTTAAGTGACTTGCCCACGGTCACACAGCTAATAAGTGTTATGTGTCTGAGGCCAGATTTGAACTCAGATCCTCTTGAATCCAGGGCCGGTGCTCTCTACCCATTGCGCCACATAGCTGTCCCAGAATAAAGTTGTTTTTAAGAGAGTTTTGTGCTCAGTCTTTTTTCAGTCCTGTCTGACTCTTCGTGACCCCATTTGGAACTTTCTTGGCTGAGATACTAGAGTGGTTTGCCATTTTTTTCCCCAGCTCATTCTACAAAAGAGGAAACTGAGGCAAACAGAGTTAAGTGACTTGTTTAGGGTCACACAGTTAATAAGGATCTAAGGCCAGATTTGAACTCTGGAAGAAGAATTTTCCTGATTCAAGATCCTGCGCTCTATCTGCTGTGCCATTAACTACCCCTTAAGAGAGTTCTTTGAGGGTAATATGGATAAAGGTGAATCATTTAGCGTGTTACATTTGGATTTTCAAAAGACCTTTGAGAAAGTTGAGTAGAATTTAGGGAGAGCTATGCTGTCTTGTACTTAGAGACAAAAATCAAATTATATTTTATATCAATAATATGGGGAATGACATATAGACAATAGCATTTCCCTCAGTAATGAATGTTGGTGTCATTCTTCTGTATTTTTAGAAATGAATTTTTAGAGGGAATTTAAAATGAAATATCTAGGTTGTCAGATCATAACTTCTTTGTGAATTGTCTCTCTAAGCAAACAAATAATAAACAGTAAATGGGAGCTAATTTTCTTTTCAACATTATCTTTTCTCTATAAATGGAGATCAAAAAAAGGCATGTAAAGGGCAGGTTCTGGTTAGCTGACATCTGGATAGTCAAGGTTTTATTCTAGTGTTGATGGTAATAAAAAGATATGTCCATTTTGAAGACTATGTTCAGTGGAACAGTTCCTTAGCTGATTGAAATTGTAATTGATTTAGCATTTGTTGAAATAGTAATTCATTTAGCATGCCTGATATGTGCCAGACTCTGTGCTAAGCTCAGAGAATATGAAGAAAGAAGGGGAAAAAAAAACCACGCAAACAGCTATTTACAAACAAGATATATACAGGATAAATTGGCGGTCATCTCAGAGAGAAAGTATAAGATTAAAGAAGATTGGAAAGGTTTCTTAAAGAAGATGAGATTTTAGTTGAGACTGTATGCAAGCCAGAGAAGTTGAGATAAGGAGGGACTTCATTCTAGTTATGACTGACAGGACAAATTCTCAGAGTCAGAAGATGGAGTGTTGTATGAAAGGAACAGCAAGTAAGCCAGTGTCACTGGAAGGGAGTAGAATGAAAGCAAGGAAAGGGCCAGGTTATGAAGGGCTTTGAAAACCAAACAGAGGGATTTTACATTTGGTCCTGGAAGTAAGAGGGAGAATTCTTGATTCCATGAGTTTACCTTCAATAAACTGCAATTTATTGAATGAGGAGGAGGGATGAAGTGACCTGCTCAGACCTGCATTTTATAAAATCAGTTTAACAGCTTAGTGGAGGATAGATTGGGGTGGAGAGAGACTTGAAGCAGGGAAACCAATCAGCAAGATGTTATAATAGTGCAGGCATGAAGTGGTGAGGGCCAGCTCCAGGGTGATGGCAGTGTCAGAAGAGATAAGTATAGGAGAAAGTTATGAAGATGAAATCGACAAGCCCTGACAACTTACTGGTCTTGGGGTGGTGCTGGAGATGTTGAGTGAAGAGTTGAGGATGAAACCTAGGTTGTCACTCTGGTTAACTAGGATGGTAGTGCCCTTGATGGTAATAGAAAAGTTAGAAAGAAGTGGGGGGGGGCAGGTAGGTGGCTCAGTGGATGGAACACTGGCCCTGGAGTTAGGAGGACCTGAGTTCAAATTCGGCCTCGGATGCTTACTAGCTGTGTGACTCAGGCAAGTCACTTAACCCTTACCACTTAACCCATTTAATCCAGTTGCTTCCCCTCAAAAAAACAAAGCAAAAAAAAAGTGAGGATTTGAGGGAAAAGATTCAGTTTTGGATATATTGAATTTAAGATGTCTTATAGGAGCAGATAATGTTGAGCAAGCAATAATGAAATCTAGATGAAACATTTTTCTTTTCCCGCCCTCTCCAAATAATAATAGCTCGTGTGTGTGTGTGTGTGTGTGTGTGTGTGTGTGTATCTAGGATTTCCTGGATAATTGCTTTAATTCTCTACTTTACTTTGTGTAGTCACAACTTATGTCCCCTCAAAGCCACTCTTTATTGTAAACAAGAGCATCTCATCTTCTTAATAATAAAGATTTTTCTTAATTTTGATTCATTTCTAGCAAATCAATCACCATCTAAGAACTGTACACATGCTTACCTCTCCCCATATCCCTTCCTGAGAGATGAGCACAATTCGACCTCCTATGACTCTGCAGTCAGTAAGTGCTTCACTTTCTTGGAATGCTCAATTTAAAGAATAATTACCAGTACTAATGTTGGATCAAAGAGATTGTGGTTCATTTAAAAAAAAATCATTTAATAAGCTGAAGTTAGGCATTTTGTGCTCAGTCTTTTTTCAGTCCTGTCTGACTCTTTGTGACCCCATTTGGAGCTTTCTTGGCTGAGATACTAGAGTGGTTTGCCATTTTTTCCCCCAGCTCATTCTACAAAAGAGGAAACTGAGGCAAACAGAGTTAAGTGACTTGTTTAGGGTCACACAGTTAATAAGGGTCTAAGGCCAGATTTGAACTCTGGAAGAAGAATTTTCCTAATTCAAGACCCTGCACTCTATCTGCTGTGCCATTAACTACCCCTTAAGAGAGTTCTTTGAGGTTAATATGGATAAAGGTGAATCATTTAGCGTGTTACATTTGGATTTTCAAAAGACCTGTGAGATAGACCACAAACTTAGAGATATGCCTAGGGAATGATATTGAACAGATTCTTGGGTCTTCTAGTAACTGCTGTGGGAGAATTTCAGGATATGGAGTCAGAAGACCTTGTCTCAGATCCTAATTCTTCAGCTTACTACCTGAGTCACCTTGGACAAAATACTGTACCTTGATGAACCTCAGTTTCCTCATCTGTAAAATGGGAAGGTTAGACTAGATGATCTCTGATCACTCCTCCAGCTTGAAATCTAATAGTATTCTTTTGCTATTTTGTCTTATCACAATTCTCTTAAAATGTTTTGACAATAGGAAAAATGGCTTCTCTTAAAAAATAAATAAATTATTAAGAATACCCTAAAACTCATCTCCAAATTAAGATGGCTCCTTTAATAAAAATGTCAGTTTTTTGAATTTATTTTACAACTGCTTATTTGGCTACTCATAAAATGATGTTTTTTCTGTCTTATCTCTAAAAGATTGGGGCAAGCAGCATAACTTATCCTAGTTGATTCTCACAATAATTATCTAGAAGATATACTTATGTAGCTTCCTTTGTGGCTACATAATCTCATTGGGTAAGTTTCAGAGAAAGTATAGAAACTTCCTAGGTCTCTTATACTGTCAGGCTGATTCAACCAATGCATAAATCAAGGCTGGTCAGCCTGACCAAGGGTAGGAGCCAGAATTCACCAATGTCATCAGTGAAGGCCACAGTATTTTTATTTTCGAAATTTTAATGCCTAATTCATTTTTATACTGAATAGACTTGACAGATGTTTATATTAGCCATCCATTTATTCATTTGTATGTAAATCGGTTTTGTCTCCACACTATGATATCACTTTTCTTTCAAAGGACGCAGTACTTCATTTAATGGTAGCATAAATACAATACTTAATGTCAGTTCTCTGTTTTTTCCTCATGCTTGCTTCAAACACTGCACACAAAGTTCTGAAAAATAACAAGCTATCTACTCTTGGCATAAATTAATGTCTGGATAGGCCAAAGTATCAATAATTACTCATAGAAGCAAGTTTTGGAGCCTGAATCACTTGGGTAATTGTGTAGGGGCCTAAACAGAAAATATGACGCTTAGAAGGTACCCCACTCCAAGGCCACTACATTAAGAAGTCACATTGTCTAAGTCAATGTGGAAGGATTTATTAAAGTCCCATTTACTTGCCATGCCACACTAGGCTTAGTACAAAGATAATTGTACAGATGCCTCTTCTTGTCTCAGTATAAAACTGATACTTTCCATGGTCTCAAAGAGTTGCATACCCCAGAGCATCTAATATACCACCAGAAAGTAGCTTCAGGACTACAGTATGTGGCACATCTTACAAGGTTCCTTCATAAGAATTTGCAGTCCCAGTCAACTCATGCTTTCAGTCTAGTTCAGGGAGAAAAACAGGGTTGTATCCAGGGAACAGGATAGTAAAGTAGGGATTCACGGAGCTGGCAAGTACCCTGTCATGGAAACTTGGGGACATTTTTTTTTTAAGTTTGGACTCTCATATTTCCTTTTTCTCCTTTCAGTATTATCATTTTTATCCTCAGACAAAGAGGCATCTCTGTCCTGATCTGTGATTGCCGGAATAGTATTTGTTTAGTCATTTCCAGTTCTTTGTTGGAACCCCATTTGGGGTGAAGGTACTGGAGTGGTCAGCCATTCCCTTTTCCAACTCATTTTACAGATGAGAAAACTGAGGATTAAGTAACTTGCCCAGGGTCATGCAGCTAGTAAGTGTCTGAGGCCAGATTTGAGTTCACAAGATGAGTCTTCTGCCTCCAGGCCTGGCACCCTATGCATTTCACTTCCTGGCTGAATAGTATATCTATTTATAAATTAGGTGATGGTAGAGTGGAGGCCTGGGAGCACAAGGCAATGGACTTAGAGATGGAAGGGACCATGAGGTCATCTAGTCCAGATCCCTCATTTTACACTCGAGGAAACTGAGGCACAGAGCTTAAGTGACTTATGCCTCAGGCCATATGATCAGTCAGCAGTCATTCATCAGGTGTTTACTCTGTGATAGGCACTGTGCTAAGTTCTGTGAATAAAAAGAAAGGCGATAGTCCCTGCCCTAAAGTAGTTCATGTTATAATGCAGAAGAGAAAAAAATAACTAAATAACTAGATACATACAACATACAAACATATATATGTATATATTTATATACATGTAGTAGATTGAAGGTATTATCAGAGAGAAACTCACTAGAATTAAGAGAGAAAAGTCTCTTGCAGAAGTTCATCAAATTTAATGAAATTTGAAGGAAGCCAGGGAAGCTAAGAGATGAAAGTGAGGAGAGAGAGCATGCTAGGCATGAGGACCTGACAGTGCAAAGGCAGAGAGAGAGGAGATGGAGAGCGTGAAGAACGACAAATAGGTTTGTGTAGTTGAATTGTAAGAGTTTGTGGTGGGGAGTAAAGTAGAAAAAAAGAATGTAAAGGTTGAAAGGGACCAGGTTATGAAGAGTTTTAAATGCCAAACAGAACTTTTTAAAAAAAATTTGATCCTGAAGGTAATAGGGAGCTACTGGAGGTTATTGAATGAGGAGGGTAGGGGTGCTGCTGCTGTATGCTGAATAGAGGATAAATTGGAATGGGGAAGAGAGTTGAAGAAGGGAGATCAATTAGGATTTATGTAATAGTTTAGGCTAGAGGTGGCCAGATCCTGAATGAGAGCAGTACCTATGTGTGTAGAGAAAAGGGGAAGCATGAGAAATGTTGTGAAAGTAGAAATAATACAAGTTTAAAAAAAAAAGTTTTGGAGGCAAGATTTGAACCCAGGCCCTCTGACTCCAAATCTGGTATACTTTCTCCTGGATCATGCTAACTTTCTCTTGCCCCTACAAAAAGCCACAAAAGGCTACTGAAAACGTTTCTATGCTTCAGAATAACTTACCCAAAGTCACACAACTACCAGCTTTTATAAACTGTCCTACTCCATGATAAGGCAGCTAGTACAGTGGGTAGAGAACTGGGCCTGAAGTCAGGACATCTCTTCCTGAGTTCAAATCTGGCTTCAGATACTTACTACCTGGGTGACCTTGGGCAAGTCACTTAACCCCATTTGCCTCGGTTCCCTCATTTGTAAAACGAGCTGGAGAGGGAAATGGCAAACCACTCTAGTATCTCTGCCAAGAAAACCCCAAATGGGGTCATGAAGAGTTGGACACAACTGAACACAACTGAACAACAACAGCATCATAAAGGTGTCTTATAGCTCCTTACCAATTTGTGGTTTCATATACATGATCTCATTCAGTCGCCACAGCAGTCCTTGTGAGATTGTCAGGAGATCTTGTTTCACAGTTGAGGATACTGTGGCTCACATAAGTTAAATGATTTGCTAAATGTCACATAATTGCTGACTCCTACATTCAAGCAGTTTCTCTTTTTTTTTTCTTTCTTTCTTTCTTTCTTTCTTTCTTTCTTTCTTTCTTTCTTTCTTTCTTTCTTTCTTTCTTTCTTTCTTTCTTTTCTTTTTCTTCTTTCTCTTTCTTTCTTTCTTTCTTTCTTTCTTTCTTTCTCTTTTTCCTCCTCTCCTTCCCTCCCTCCCTCCCTCCTCTCTTCCCTCCTCTCTCCCTCTCCCTCCTTCCTTCCTTCCTCTTCTTTTTTCTTCTTCTTCTCTTCTTTCTTTCTTTCTTCTCTTTCTTTTTCTTTCTTTCTTTTTTTCTTTCTTTCTTTCTTTCTTTCTTTCTTTCTTTCTCTTTCTTTCTTTCTCTTTCTTTTTTTTTTCTTTCTTTCTTTCTTTTCTTTCTTTCTTTCTTTCTTTTCTTCTTCTCTTTTCTTTCTTTCTTTTTCTCTTTCTTTTTTTCTCTTTCTTTCTTTCTTTCTTTCTTTCTTTCTTTCTTTCTTTCTTTCTTTCTTTCTTTCTTTCTCTTTCTTTCTTTCTTTTTTTTTTTTTTTTTTTTTTTTTTTCTTTCTTTTTCTTTCTTTCTTTCTTTCTTTCTTTCTTTCTTTCTTTCTTTTTTTTTCCTTTTTTCCTTTTTTCCTTTCCTTTCTTTCCTTCCTTCCTTTTCCTTCCTTCCTTCCTTCCTTCCTTTCCTTCCTTCCTTCCTTCCTTTCCTTCCTTTTCCTTCTTCAACCATTTATTTAGTTTTTAGTGCTTCTTATACCATCTAACAGTGTCCCCCTACTTTATTAGCTCTTCTCCATGTTGATTAGGAAATTTTCACTCTCAAGTAGATTTTTATATCACCCATATTAACATAATTTAGCAGACCCTCACCATTCTGACCCCTATCCTTATAATTTTCAGACTGTTTGGTTTGAAAGCCAAGAGTGCTGAATTATGCTTTTCCTGACCTAACCATATCCTATTCTCATAAGTCTTTAGCTCTAACTCCAGCCCCTAGCTTGAACTCAGAAAACTCGAATTTCTCTCTTTCTATAGCCCAGCTCATTTATGACAGCCCAGTTTCCATGCCCACTCTCCAGGATTTCTGGCTCTAAATTATTCATGTTCCTCTTCCTGTAACTGTAGCCTATCAATCAACCCTAGTCCCTGCCCTGCCCCATTCTTACCTTATATGTCT